AAAAATAACAAAGCTTCCAGGTTAGACCCCTAGGGAACTCCTGAAGTACTTATGTAGTTATAAGACTTGAAACCACTATATTCTACAAACAGTTGTTCTCTTGTTCATTGGCAGTAGGATTTCGTGGTCCATACATCTTAGAACACCACTGGTTTTTTGCCAGAATAGGTGTTATTTTCTCAAAGCCTTATTGACTCTGCTTGAAAAGTGTATCTTGGGGTTGCGTTCGTTAAGAAACATGCCAGCTCGATAAACAAGCTGATAATTTTAAATTCGATAACGATGTGCCTGAATGAAGAACTTCTAGAAACAGCAATCATTAATTTTGCTTCAGGATATTGATTTTCCGAAAAAATCTGTGGCGCACTGTTTTTTCTCTAAACACAGAGACTTGTTGTAAATGTTAATGTTACAGATGGAGGTAGATGTAGGTGGTAGACGGTCTCAGACTGTCGAAAGCAGTGGTACCACCCGGCGGATCTCGTAGGAGGGGCCAGAATGTGTGTATGTTGCATGTACACGTGTTTTCTCGCCAGAGTCCGTGTGGCGTTCCCCCTTTCCCCTGTATCCCCCTATAGCCCCACGGTACCCCAAGGGTGTTTAGGCCTTAGGCCTTCGTGGTAGTCGCAATATAAAAAACAAAGATGCTACATTTGCGTATACCAAAACTCATTTCAACATCTTAATCTGTTTTCGAGAAGTGTTAAGTGAACTCTCAACGAGGAACAAGTTGAAGTTTATGGAAATGTAGAACTTTATTCTGTACATATTACCGTGTTGAATTTATCCTTAAATTGTCCTGGCCTTTTTGAAAAACTCCTATGCATAACATTCTTAAGTCAAGATAGCTTAGTAACAAATCCCAAACAGATAATGTTAATTGCAATATATAATCAAGTGAAAAAAAATCTTGCACGATGATCGTCTAGCATTAAATAGATAAAAGCCAAACAATCGTTATGTCTACAGTAGAACTAATGCGCATGCAACCCATCATAGAGATACGCATTTTATTAATTTAAAATGCTCATGAGTTAGAGGTTACGGCTATTTTTGTCTATCATCCACTATAATACAATTCATTGTTAATAGTCGCAGTTAGTAGGTCGGTTTGCTTGTATTGATTTTTAGGTGCTTGTGTTAGTACTGCAATTATAGTTCTATTTTGAATATTCACTTTACGCGCATTACTTTATCTTTTACAGATCTGAGCTTACATTCATGTGAAAGTATACACTATAGTGTTTGGCCATAATATTTCTTTGCCACATAATTGTGGTTTGAGAAACTATGACTTTGTTTTATACGCATAGTAGTGGTTAGGTTTGAAACTCTAAATCACTATTTGAATTTTTGAGATTTTGAGTGAGTGCGTATATTGTATACTAAAAGGTGTACCTACTATTATTTCGGTTTATAATATATCAGCTGTCAAAATATGTATTTTACGATTTCCTTACTGAGATACAGAGTGATACAAATAATGTAGATGTCTTAATGTTATTGCAGCTCCTGATGATGATAGCATAGTCCATTTAAAGCTAGAGACTAATAAAGTATAAAGAGTCCTCATTGCTTGAATTTTGTCGAAGTATACAGGTATAACAAAAAGTAAGAAAATAATGGACAAAATCCGCAAAAAGGAGGAAAGTGGATTCGAGCAGAAAGTAGGATAGGCAACCCGAGCGATACGTATTTCTGCTGGTTGGCTTCATCAGGCTCGAAATGAATGCACATATGAAACTACAAAAGTAGATACACATGGCCACACATCCGCATACGGGTGTAACCTAAGGAAACGAAGATGGAGAGGGAAAAAACGACACACGAAGTCCAGAACAAGAGTCAACGTACACATTGCAGTATAAAATGGCCAGAAGACCTCGAATTTTCAAGGAGACATCTAACCACAACCACGCGGCCGGTTATAGCCACTTGCTGTGGTACTTCAAGCCCAAAGGATCTACACAGAAAAAATGATAATGCGGAGAAAGGTATATAACAAAAAGTAAGAAAATAATGCGCAAAATCCACCTTTTTTTTTACTTTTTGTTATATACCTTTCTCCGCATCATAATTTTCTCTTTGTAGATCCTTTGGGCTTGAAGTACCACAGCAAGTGGCTATAATCGGCCGCGTGGTTGTGGTTAGATGTCTCCTTGAAAATTTTATACTACAATGTGCTCTTGTTGTGGACTTCGTGTGTCGTTTTTTTTCCTCTCCATCTTCGTTTCCTCAGGTTACACCCGTATCTGGATGTGTGGGCATGTGTATCTACTTTTGTAGTTTCATATGTACATTCATTTCGGGCCTGATGAAGCCACCCAGCAGAAATACGTATCGCTTGGGTTACCTATCCTATTTTCTGCTCGAATACACTTTCCTCCTTTTTGCGGATTTTGCCCGTTATCTTCTTACTTTGTGTTATATACCTTTCTACGCATGATCATTTTCTCTTTATATATATATATATATATCCTTAAATTTGTTTGGGTAGAAGGCAAAGTATTGCAAAAGTTCACTCTTTTTAAACAACAGTGAAGGGAACACGATAAAAAACTGGACTGATGAGGTTCGATTAGGACGGAATTATTTTATTATTAAATGGCAAATCATTTTTACTTAAACGTTGATTCATTTTGGAAGAAATTTGGAAATTTGAAAACTATCAACTATTGAAAATTCCTTCGAGATTTCATCGTTTTTGTTTTCACCTATAACCTCTACATTATCCAACACGTGCAGGCCGACTCTCCTAACAGTTAAGGCAATAAACTATGAATAATATATATATAGGGGCCCCTCCATGTGTGGACGGAATATTACTCATAAACAAATACATTTTGGGAAAATATATTATATACATGACATTTGAGGGCACATTTTTTAAATATTGGCCGTTATACAGGGTGTCCCAATTTCGACATACATATCAAAGTTGTGATTTTTCAAATGGAATGCCTTAAATTTTATTGCATATTTGGATAAACCAATTCAAAAGAAGAAAATTGATAAAACATACTATGGGATTTTGGTAATTAGCTACTGAGATATAAGGTCTAAGTGGAGCAGTGGAATATAGTAAAAAATGTATAAATAATCCAAGTGTCACCAATGAGGCGAATCAGTTGGAGGTTCTAGTGAAGTTGCAGGAAAATCTCCATTTAAGCGCACGGCAAATTGGAGCAGAAATGATATATGCAGAACTTCTGTCCAAACGATTACAACCTATGCTTGCATCAAGGCCTTCGTCCTCGGGATTTTGCAGCTGGAATGGAGTTTAGTAGAATAATGCTAATAAAGTGAGTGAAGACACTACTTTCCTGGACAAGGTTCTTTTTAGCGATGAGGCAACTTTTAACATCATAGGTGTTGTCAACAGGCATAACATACACTATTATGCAATGGAGAACCCTTACTGGGTTTGGCAAATAGATTTCCAAACTAAATGGAGCTAGAATGTTTGGGGAGGAGTTATTGGCAGACAAGTTATGGGGCCTTTCTTTTTCGACAACAGGTACAGGCTACTTCAATTTTTTGATCGAGCATTTGCCTTTGTTTTTGGAGGATGTCAACTTGCAAACTCGGAGGCATATGTACTTCCAGCATGACGACGCACGTGCGCTTTATCGTAATCGTGTGAGTAGCTATTTGGACACCTGGAGTAACAATCGTTGGATGGGTCGTGATGGGCCTATATCTTGGCCTCCTAGATCGCCAGATGTGACACCGATGAACTTCCTTCTATGGGGCTACTTTAAGCAAGAGGCTCATAGATATCCACCATCTACCCCGGAAAATATGAAGGGAAGGATTAAGGATCCTTTTCTGAACATAAGGGAACACATGCTGAGGGATGTGCAACGGTCATTGATCCAAAGACTACGGCTGTATATTCAACATGGTGGAGATATTTTCGAGTAGGTTTTGTAGATTAGATCTTGAGTAGTGATAGTTGTTTGTTTATGTTGTTGTTATAGTTGTTTTTCTCTACTACGCTTGAAGCTGATTTATTCTGTTCTGATTGCTATTAGTTTTTACGTCAAATCTGTACTCCTAGTGGCATATGGAACTAGCCCACTGCTTGCCTTTTGTTTCCATGGATGATGTGATTTTTTTTCCTTAATTTTGGTGTGTTGTTCTATTAAAAGCTTAATAACTCAAAATCAAGTGATTTTATCTGAATCAAACCTTATACCAGAAAAAGCTCATAAAAAATTTAATCCAGCCTTGCACAGATATACAGGGTAATGAATTTGAAATTTTTGAGAAAAAGTACAATTCGCGTTTTTGACCACCCTGTATGAGCAAACATGAAAATTGGAAAAAGGTACAAATAAGATAAAAGCTGAGGTGTGTAAATTTTTTTGATACAAAATTCAGCACACCAAATTTCAAAACCCCATATTATGTTATATAAATCTTCTGCTTTTGAATTGGTTTATCCAAATATGCAATAAAATTTGAGGTAGCCCATTTGAAAAATCACAACTTTGATATGTAGGTCGAAATTGGGACACCCTGTATAATGGCCGATATTTTAAAATGTGCCCTCAAATGTCATGCAGAACATGCCATTAATAGATTTTCCCAAAATGTATTTGTTTATGAGTAATATTCCATTCACACATGGATGGGCCACCCTGCATATTAATATTGTTTTATTTTTTATGTTAAGCTCCACAACGTCTTAGGCAAGTAATAGAAATAATATACCAGCTTTTTGGAATTGTCAATTATTAATTTATTATATACTTCTGTACTAACTTCGGATGGTAATAATCATAGAAACATTTAAAACAAAGTATTGCACCGCACACAGTTTATACATGTTCTTAAAATGGTCATTTTGGTTCTAAAATAAACGTAACGTAACTCACGTTTAAAAATATTTTCTTAGTGGTTTTGACGCAAACCACACATCATGTATCATCACGTCTAATTGACGAGGATAATTTTACAATGTTGTTTGTTTCCGTCAAAAATTGGAGAAAAATTACCTCATTCGATACATGCAACTCGGCCGTTTCATGATTTCTTCCAAATTCTTCAATGACAATCCTCCCAAACTCGTTCACACCGTACGCAAACAGATCTTTGATCTTCATTACTAATTTTCAGAGAATTGTGGACGAAAAATAAAGATAATGTATGTACACTAACTTGTACAGATACCAAACCGGACACTTACTAACTAGGGACTGGATTTGACAGCGTGAATACTTTGCTTTATATAAATTAAGGGTCAATTTATATTCTCCCACTTTCTTTGTAAAGTAATTGAATGAATAAGTTCACATATAGTCCAAGAGATTATGGTAAAATTAAATAAATCAAAGATATCAAGAATTAATGTTAAATGAATATTGACAATGATCTTATAAAATAATGGAATCCTTATAAGAGTTACGTAGCATCAGATAAAACATTTGTTGTCCCTGCAATAGGAAGCATTTTTTATTTGCTATCTAGTGATTTTTTCTATTTTTAGCAATAGCTGATAAAAAATGGCGTCAAGTAGGTTGGCTCTGTACGTCCCATTATCAGTACATAAAGGAGTATGTTCAGCATAAACTAGCCTGTCTGAAAAAAAAGTCAGTCAATTAGATCTATACAATTACATAAACATTCTTTCCCTGCACTACCACTAGTGCAATCGGAAAACGTGGCCTCTCCCCGATACCTAACTCGAACAGACGTGGCGCGGCCAGAGTTTAGAAAACACTATGCTGTTGCGCGGCAGACATTGACATACCTGTGAAGTTTTCAGCGCTAATGTACAGAGAAATCTATGATGTGTGAAATATGAATGTTGGAAACGTATGAATGTTTCATCAAAACATTGAGATAAACCCTCCCCACCGCTTAAACCTCCACCCCCAATTCTTTTTACCTCTAAATATTTTTCAGAAATGGTCAGGACCCTCTTAAACGTCAAAAACAAAGATTGGGTGGTTTTTACGTTTTAGACCTTTTTCTCTGCAGCCGCTGCAATGATTTTCAAAAACTACAAAGGTTTTGCGTCCTTGGTATAATAGTACCATTGTGTGAAACTTTCATCAAAATCCTCTCAAGTTATAAGAGGTTACGAGGGATGTCTTTTAAGTTTTGCATATGGAAATAAAACAACACTGTAGGTAGTTTTAAATGACTTTATTGTTTTTCGAAGTATTCTCAACGAAGATTAATACATATCTGCATGCGCTCGAACCAATTTTCGATGCAGTTATTCCACTCGTTTGCTGGAGATCCAAAACGGCATTTTTGAATGCGTCAACTTCTTCTTCTGGTGACTGGAACCTTTGACCACGCAGTCTGTTTTTAATTTCCGGGAAAGTAAAGAAATCGTTAGGACTTAGATTGGGTCTATATGGAGGATGGTCCAATATTTCCACGTTTTCTTCCGTTAAATACTGCCTTGTATTTGGGGTGTGTGCGAGCTTGCATTGTCTTGGTGATTCTTCTGTCGGGGTTGATTTTTCGAAGCTCGGTGATGACTTTTGGCAAACAAATGGTGGTATACCAATCGGCAGTAACAGTTATTTGCAATATGACCCGCTTTGACACAAATGTCCCGACGATCTTTTTCGAAACACTTCGAGAACGGATGACTTTTGTTGGCTTTTCTTCACCTTGGAACACCCAAACAGCCGACTGTCGTTTATTTTATGGTTTATAACAGTAAATCCACGATTCATCACCACTAACAATGCTGTACACATTTTTTGAGTTTCCGGAATTGAGACGGTTAAGCGTTTTTTGACACCAATTAACCCTGGCTGCTTTCTGCTCTTCAGTCAACAGGTCAACGAGAAACTAATTTTCTTACTCCTAATACTTCATGTAAAATTTTTTGAATTGAGGTCTTTGAGATCTTCAAGGACGCCTCAATCTCGCGATATGTCACATATCTATCTTCAATGATGAGTTTGCGCACAGCATCGACGTTTTCCTGGGTGACTGCCGTTTTTGGTGCACCCACCCTGGGATCGTCGCTAAGACTCACCCGTCCACGTTTGAATTCTTCATACCAATGGGAAATTGTCGACTGATGTGGCGCTTCGTTGCCGAAAACAGTCCTCAGCAAGGCATTCTTGTTGCGATAATTTTCTCTGAAAGTTGTAACAAATTATGGCGCGAAAATGTTCTCGGTTGAGTTCTATTTTTCTAATGACTTGGTAACACTTAAAAATTCACTGTAGTGAGAACACTGCACGTATTGTTGTGAAACTTTGAATTTGAAGTTTACTAAAGAGTGACGTTAAGATTCAGTACTGACGTGTGATCCGCGCGGCCTACTATGTTTCTATATGCAAAACTTAAAAGACATCCCTCGTATAAGATTAGCGGGCAGTCAGACAGAAAATAAGTGACAAGGTTATTCGTGATATATATGTCATATAACATTCAAAAAAAAATCTCATTTTCGAAATTGTTTCCGAATACAATACTTCCCCGCCTGTACTGGTTTTGCAAAAAACAAGGAATTACTGGAATATTTTAGTTTTGATTACTGGTTGGAGCAAATAGTAACAATCTCAAAACTCGATGTTTATAACAGGAATGACATGCATTTTTACCGAAAAGGTATAGAAATTTTATTAAAATGGAAAATGTGACTATTCTCTCTCGCACCATTTATTAGAGGTAAGGTGGGGTATTAAATGTATCTCAACAATTGAGCATCAATTATAAGTTTTTTATGTTTCGTTATTTAAATTGACGGTGATAACTAAGTAACTAAGTAGTATTTATAGTTTCTAAAATCATTCTTTGATTACCTCTCTGATTCAATTGATTATCACTGACCATCCGACCAATAATTAAAACAACACAACACATCAGCTTTAATAGTTTGATTTTTTGAACTTCACAAATATTTTCTGATCGGGGATTGACTGGTATCTATCTACAGAGCGGCAAAACGTACTAGAGACAGCGGAGACATCCGTAAATTTCATTTTCGCAGAGATGTGGTTTTAATTATCAACCATGATAAATAAGTATGATGCAATTTCTAGAAAAATCTGCTTCATACTTAACTCATTATTTTTTTACGTTTTACAAGTGAGCTTATCTCTGGCGATAAAAAATTATCACTTTTCAGGTTACATCATTTTTTATGTAAACTACATTATTTTACTGATATCATACATAACCGAGCTGCTTCCTTGACAAAAATTCGCTAACCTTCACATAGTAGTAATAAAATCAAGGCTCTGCTATTGGTGCCATTGACTTTTGAATATATTATGTCGTAAGTATATATACAGACATTTCATCTTCTGTGATTGTAAAGTGTATTAGTAAAAGGCAAAGCTATACTAATGCCTTCATTGACTGGCTAAATAGATGTCGCAAATTCTTACAAATATATAATATATATGAGACGTAAAAAATTACATGCACAGGTACTTACAATTTTAGAAGCTTGGCTCTCACAAGAAGGTGGATGTTCGTCAGCAGTATGAACCACTTTATTTTTGTACTGAAACAAAAAATATACGATCATTTGGTTGCATTTCACGGTACAGGGTGCGCCATCTTTTATGTCGGTATGTAAACATGAAATAACTTTGAAACGGAAATTCGGACTAGTTTTTGAACACAACATCTACCAAGTGGCCAAAACAAAATGTGCCCGTTTTGCTGCGTTTTCCATTACTTTTTCGAATGTTTGCCTTGAGTTCTTCAGTGGTCTGGGGCTTGCTGGCGTACACTTGACTTCTCCAATAGCCTGGTGGGGTCAAATCTGGAGACCTGGGTGGCCAGTCAATGTTGAAACCAGTAACCATCAAGACCTTTTTCGCGCATTTCTGGGCAGACACAATGAGCCAACATCCACCGACATCGATTTCCATCGACTGTTTCGTTTGCGTTGAAGAAAAATGACCCAATGATAGTTTTGGCGCAAACGCTGGCCTAAATTCACTTTCCGGTCATGCAACGGCATTTCTTGGATCTCATGTGGATTTTCCGTCCCCCAAATGCGGCAATTTTGCTTATTAACGTCGCCAGAGAGCGTGAAATGGGCCTCGTCAATTTGCTTCCAAAAATCAGATTCAGCATCAACCATGCTAGCAACTGTTTGGGCGTATTCCAAGCGTCGTGGACGGTCAGTTGGCAATATTTTTTAACTGCACCTTATAAGGAAACAAATGCAAATCATCCTTCAAAATGCGTCGCAACGTGGTTCCACTGATGCCAAAATGCTGAGCGCGGTGACGATAGGACACTTTTGGGTTCTTGGCAACGCTGTCTCTGACCGCTTTTAACCAATTCATTGGAATGTCTTGGTCGTTGATGAATGGTATGTTGACGATCTCCCACTGTCCCGTACTCAAGAAAATTCGAAACCAAACGACGGATAGTGTTGTCAGACGGTGCCTGTTTGCCACGATATTTTCGACGATATGCGCTTTGTTTCGGTGTAAAGCGATTGATGACTAAAATTTCAGTAAATTGACGTTTCAGAAACACGTATAACCAAATCACTCGGTTGGTAAATACTAGAGACCGACCGAAGTTTCGGTTTCGGCCAAAAAACCGGTTTCGGTCGAAGTTCCGGTTTCGGCAGCAAATTGGCCGAAACATACGATCGTAAGGTCTCGGGATATGTCCGGTTGTAGTCGGGCGATCGCTTCGTGTCCGTACGCGTTTCATCACGTCACTTGATCTTCGCCGACAAGCTGGTCACGCATTTATTACATTTATTAGGTAGTGTGCGTATTAAATAAAGGTAAGTATTTAGTAATTATGTATTCTGGATATACTATATTATAATTATTGATAATTTCTATTTCGAAATAAGAGGGAGAGTAATAAATCATCAGTTTACACCAGGTTCTGCAGTAGGTCATACGCGTAGAATATTACACAATTATCTCAGTAACAGCAAAGAAAAGCTCATAAAACTTTACTGTAATTAATGAATAATTACAATGAAGATCAATAATATTAGTTCAATTTATATTTGATTATCGAGTGAAAACTGAAAATTATCTGTTTCAGATAGAAATGTCTCAAAGAGAAAGAAATCCTATTTGGCAGTTTTTTGAAAAGAGCACAAATGATTTATCTAAGGCAGTTAGCAAAATCTGCAAAAAGTCGCTCTCATTAGGAAGTCAAGAACCCAAAAAACAAACACTATATGGAGTGAAACAGCATTTAAGTAAGTTCCATGGCACAGAACACAGACAAGTTTTAAAGCGGCAGTCTGAATTAGAGAACATAAAAAATGAACTAAACATACAAAAACGAA